GGGTCCATGTACTCTAATATAGCATATACATGGGCCTTAAAGTACCTATATAGGGACTACATTAAGGCCAATGTATATACTATAGGAGTACATGGACCCTTAGGGTACTTGGAGGTTCATGGGTAGTTCTAAGTGGGGTTATAAGTCCCCTAATATGGGTTATAATTATAGTTACCCTACTTATATATAACCCTACTTATAACTACCCATGAACCTCCAAGTAAGGCATGGCGCGCACCTGAATGGCCACCTCGCAAGCGGTGCACAGGTTTTCGGAGGCGCCTTCGCGGCAAACCTCCACAGGCAGGATCAGGGCTTGGGCTTTAGCCCTTCTTTTGGCGGGTTTCGGGTTTAGGGTTCAGGGGGTTCATGAGGGGGCTTACAGGCTTTAGTTAAGGTTTTTGCTTCTTGGCGGGGGCTTAGGGCTTACGGTCTTGAATTTAAGGGTATAGGAAGGTTTTGGGCTGAGGGTTTCCTTAACGGATCACGTGACGGGACCCAGTGGAGTGTATCAGCAACGTAACTAGGTTCATAGTTACATAGTTACTTAGATCCTTGATTCAGTTAGTTATGCCCTCAAGTACAAAGCCCCCTGATGCTCCCAGTGGAGATTAGGCTCAAAGCGATGGCTCGAGTTTAGAGTTAGCGATTCAAAAACGAGTTTGGGATGCAGCGGGAGGGTACGGTGGCGACTTGGGGTTAGCGCAGGTTGGTTTGGGCTTCTGCGGTTGCCAGCTACTCTCTAACCCTGAACCAGAGCCTTCCTCTCCGGGCATTGGAGCATTGGAGCTGAAACTTAGTTTGCGATTCAAGTAACATTCAGGCTGCAAGTGGAAATTCCACGTCTTTCCCCATACCCAAACCCCTACACTCAAAACCGTAAAGCTAGGCGCCTGTCGAGGCTGTAGGTTTGGTGTTCGGCCCGTCAGATGCTTGCAAGTTCAATCTCCAACTCTTGCGTTCAACCTCCGAAAAAACCTCCGTCTGTCGGGGGAGAGGTCTCAAAAATAGGGCCTCAACCCTAAACCATAAAACCCAAAACCCCAAACCCTAGAAAAGAACCTGCTTTTTTTGGACCTGGTTGCGGTATGCAGCTTTCAGTCACATTGCGCTACTGCAGCCCAGTGTTTCGACTCTGGCTTCGAGGGCTTTTAGGGTTTAGCGTTCAGGGTGTAGGGTTTAAGATTCAGAGTTTAGGGCAGTTTAGGATTTAGGGATTAGGGGTTAGGTTAGGACACATGGGTCCATCATCGAGGTTCAAGTGCCGAGAACTGACAAAAGTGCTCGAAGTCTGTCAACTGCACTTAGGGGTTGCAGGCTGAGAATTCCTCCCAGATCCGTTTACGTGGAAAGGTTCTCGCTTCAGCCAAGCCGGCAAAGAGAACTCCTAGACCATAGCCTGAACCTTAAACATCCTTAAACCCTAAACGTAGCATCGTAAACCCTACATCTGTCTGTTTGGGATGTCCTTGCCTTGTCCTGGTTGAGAACGTCGGCGGGCTTTACGATCCTGCTGCTAAGGGGCATCATGCACCCCGGTGTAATCCCGTCAGTTCTTGCCGGAGGTGTGTAGCAGAATGCAGACCTATTAAGGCTGGCCTCAAATCTTAGGATCCTCTTCAACTACCTACTTGGAGGTTCATGGGTAGTTATAAGTGGGGTTATAAGTCCCCTAACATGGGTTATAATTATAGTTACCCTACTTATCAACCTACTTATAACTACCCATGAACCTCCAAGTACCTACTACAGCCAGAGCGAGAATTCTTAAGGTCGTCAACACAGCCTGCGGAATCCTCAGGCTTGAACCCCGAAGCTCCGGCACAGAACCGAACGGGGTTTAGGGCGTAGGCTTGAGGATTGAGGGTTCAGATTCAGGGTT